TGAAACTAGAGGGAGTAATTTTGATTGCTTTTTTTTTTTTAAATCAGGTATTTTATAAAGAAGTCAGAAAGGAAGACGAGAGTTCAGGATTATTAATTCCAGTAAAAGGGTGTCTAGTTGGGAAGATTGTAGTCAGCGTGTTCTCAGACAACGCCAGAACCCATCAGGGTCACCATACAGAATCCAGGGCTAAATAACCCATGAGCTCGGACAGGCCTCACAGAGACATCAAGGCCACCAGGGCTCCTCCTCAGCATCCCTCCCGGATGCAGAGAGAAGGCAGCATAGTCCCTTTGGGGAAAGTCAAGGTGGTGACAGGGATTGTGCTGAAAATCATTTCATTATGCTGTTGAGCATTCTAACCTGGTGTGCAGGTCAGGAATTTCGGAAACAGAAGGCGATGGAATGGAGTAACTATGGACAATGCGGGACATTAATTAATATAATCATTTTCAATTCACGGAGCCCCCCAACACCCAGAAATTCATTTAGTATTTACTACAACCCTGCAGCAAAGTGCAGCATTTCAGACATGAAAATCCTGTCACGTGCGAATGTGTTAAGCTTTCGACCTGAGCAGGTGTCAGAACCAGGACTCACACCACGCCACCCATTCCAAATTCTTAAATTTTTGAGTGTGTGATTTTCACACCACCACCAAGCCTATCCAGTGAGGATTGAAGCCATGCAAAAAACGGGGAGCAAATTATGATGGCCAGAGCCCAGTGCGCACCTGTTTTTAGGGGCCAAAGCGGGTGCTCTTAAGAAAAAGAGACTGAACGGTTATGGATTGAGAAGCAGCCAGAGAGCGTTTGACCCCAAACACCAAGGAGTGAGCAAGGACCAGGAGCTTCCAGAAGAGGGAATGGCTGCGTTCCCAGGTATGCCCTGGACCTTGCGTTTGGAAACATTTTTATTATAATTTTTAAAGAGAAAGAGGGCGCCTGGCCTGGCCTGGAGGGTCAGGAGGGTCCGCGCTGAGATCGCCTTCCTGAGCATCTTGCTTCTTTCCCTTTGCACCTTCACTCTGACTCCTGTTCCCGATTAGATTGCTTAGATTACGGCTCCTTGAGGGTGAGGTCCACGTCTCATTCCCCTCCTTGTCTCCACACTTCCCAGCACAGCCACCTCCATGGACCATAGTGTAAAAGCTGTCTGAGTGCTGATGAATCATCCCTAGAGTTTTTCCAAAGGCAGCATCCCGTGCCAGGAACACATTTGTTTCAAACATGTGCTTCGATTTGAATGAATCTGCCTAACTGGTGCCATCTGTTCTCAGGCAGTTTCAGAAACGTTTTAACATGATTTTACCTTTAAAGAGGACACACTGTGGGGCCGGGCCCTGAGACCTGCAGACATCCATAACTAAACCCAGAGAGGCACCGACACATCGCATTGCAGTGAAACAGCGCTGCATAAAAAATCTCTGCTGAGGTCTGTGAAATTTTTATCTACAAGGACACCAACCACTACTTCATGCCGAAAATATTTATGAGACATTGCCGGACTGTAGGCACCGACTCCCATATTACTGTGCTTTAATTACAGACTCCAGAAATGCAATTTAATTTTTTGTAATCTCATAGTCCTCCGAAATGGGTATGCGCTTCCAATATTTGTTAATGGTCCACAGTTGATTGTGGTTTCAGCACATCGATTTCAAAGCCGAAGGCAGCTGCTGAGAATCGCCTCTGTGTTATTTGTGTGTATCGATTGTTAATTTGCCTTTCCTTACAGTACTGTAGGATTTATTGCTATGTGAATGCAACAGTGAAATGAAACCCATATTTAAGTTCTACAAATAACTTACACTTACTTCCAAAACACCTCAGCTTAGATTCTAAATTTGAGTTTGCGGTTTTACACGCACAGTTATTTGCTGATCCACTTTAGCATGCAAAATCACACACTGGCTAGATTCGGGCAAGCTTATTGTGGCAACAAATAATGGGTCACATGGGCAGCATACTTATCTTGCTGGCCACCTTGTCATCACCAAAAGTCTGCCGGCACGTTGGCCTCTGTGTATGTTGCTAGCTGGTATAAGTCAACCATTGTGAGTATCAGAAGTGTATATTTACACGAAGGATTTCTGGTTGAAATAGCATCCACGTAATGAGACCCCTGTGATACCTGCACGGCTATACCAAAATTGCTTTGGTTAAATCCCATTTTGCAAAGATGGATGTCTGAACATTCTCACACAAACATTCACTTGGAATATTCCTCTGATTTTTATTGTCGGAGAGGGTGACCCTGCTAATTCATCACACGTGTACTGAGTCAGACTAAGCTCTTCCTTGTGGAAAATAGAAAACTCTAAAATGCACAGAATAATGTGCGCCCAGCATGTGATCTTTTACAACCCGGAATTTCCTGCTAGTACATTTTTAAGCAAAATAAATTGCAGGTAAAGTTGGAGTCCCTTTGTTAATCTTTCACTCCACTCATAAGAAGACATGCACCACCATGAATTACTGTATTCTGCTTTTCCATAGTTTAATGGGTTTCCATTATAGCTCCATGAACAGTAAATAGATAGTATCGCTTGTGTAATTACAGAAACTCTCTCGTGGGGTTCATGTCATTCTTTACCTGTTTTTCCTTCAGCATTCTATTCTAAAAATCTATGTTCATTTTCCCAAAATTTTTTCATTTGTTTAATTTTAAAACAAACAAAAACAGAATTTTAAAACAAAATAATAGATTAACCTATTAATCTATAACTAATTAATTGCATATTGTTATCTTCAAAGTCGCTGTGGTTTGAATCCCCCGGTTTGCTAACCCTTTACCACAGACGACCATTTGCACTGTATGCCCCATGCCAAATCTTTGCTACCCTAAGTAACATTGCAGTGGATGACCTCATGCGTGTGTTTCCTGGTAAACTTCTCCAAAATTTCTTTCTAGGAAACATCCCCAATTGTGTGTTACTGAATCGTGGATTGCAGGCAGTTGCAGCATTCCCAATATCGCCAAATTCTCTTTTTCTCCCCAAAATACAACCGAGCTGGAAAACAGCCTTGAAAACTGAAGCTCAGGAGTGCCAGCCCCGGCGGCCTACCCTCCCTTCACCTGTCGTCTCTGTGCTCTTGTCTAACAGTCAGGGAGGTGAGACAAGAGCAGGCTGATGGGGCTGCCAGTTTTTATCTCCAGTTTTCAGGGCTGATTGTTTTCAGCGAGGTCTTATTTTCAGGAAAACACAGTTGCTCTAAAAAAAAAAAAAAAAAAAGTTCTTTATTTATATTCTCATTAGCAGTATCTGCAAATCCCATCTCCTTATTTAGGCTTTAATTTGGTTAATGCTTGCTATCCAATGGGTGTGAAATAGTTTATCCTTATAGTTCTAAGTTGTACAGTTGTTATTTATAATTGTGAGCATTTTTCTTATTGATTAACTGTTTCCAAGTTTCTTCTTCCTGGGCTCCCTATCTTATTCTTTGCCTGTTTTTTCTGAGTTGTTTTTATCTTACTGATTTGTATGCATTCTTTATTACAAACATTCATTAGTTTTGTCAGTTCCGTGTATTGCAAATACCTCCTCTCAGTTCTTTAACTTTATGGCATGACTTTTCTTGTGCAAGCCTTGATATTTGGGTCATCTGGTCAAATATTTCAGTTGATTCACTTTTCTGTTTTGTGTGTTATGTGTGTTATGTTTAGTGGATATTTTTGTCCAATTTTGTCCAAGCATATTAATTTGCTGATTAATATGCTTCCATATTTTCTTGTACTAGTGTTAAAGTTTTGTTACTTGTCATGTGTATTTTTAATTCATTTGTGAATTTATTTATGTGTACAGTGTGAAGCCAGCCTAACTTTTTTTTTTTTCAAAAGAGGGAGCTAGTTGTCCCAGCACCCTTCGTTAATCAGTCTGTGCCTTCTCCACTACAGTATAACACCCTTGCTGTCCTGTAGGGACTTCCTCAGTGAACACAGCGTGTCTCACCAACCTGGCTCTCTTCCCCTGCACCACAGCCACACTGTTTCAATAATCACATCTTTATAGTGTAACTTAATGAATGGAAGAACAAGTCTTTCAAATTTGTAACCCCCATTAGCTCATTCCTTTGTTGCCATTTCAAATAATGTTATGTTTTCTGATTAATTATTGTTCTTGTTAGAATTTAATCCATTTCACATAATGATCTCACATCCAGTGACCCTGATCAATTTTTTGGCTTTTATCCCTTCGTTTTACAGAAGCTCTTGCATTTTCACGACAGAACGCTGTATTTGCTGTACACAATGACATTTTACTGTCTCCTTATCACTATGCTTTCTAAATCTTTTCCTTGGTTTTCTGTTCCTCTGACTCGGGGCTGAGCAGTAGCAGCAGAGACGGCCCATCCTCCTCTGCAAGCTTTGCTCGCGGCGGTGTTAATGGGTCCTCCCTGCCTTCCCATGAGCCCTTGTGGGTGAAGGTGTGGATTGCAGCAGGAGCGCAGAATAGGATGCTCTCCTTCTACGGGGCCCCAATCTTTACTCCAGTGGGGCTCTTTCATCACTTTCTGAGTCACCCCGTCCACTTTGCTGTCAGTCATCCAACAGGGAACACATGGGAAAGAGCTCGTTTTTTTTGTTCCTTTTTTTATACTTTTTATTTTAAAGAAAATAAATCCAAGCAAAATAAAACAAAAATAAAGCCAATCAAAACAAAACAGCATAAGTGACACAGGACTTCAAAGCAAGATTATAGGAAATCATTAGTGGTTCCCATATGCCTCTTGTCTTCATTTGAAGTCTTTTATTGTGTTCATTGTTGTGTTTTTATTAGTTCTCTTATGTTTTGTTTGATTTTTACTATGTCTGAAGTTATGGGCAGCTATTTTGAAGAACTCACTTTAAAAGTCTCAACCACAGCATTTTTGCACCAGTTGATGGTATCGATCTCATGGGAAATGCCTTCCCGTTAGGAATATAAATTTAAATCTTCTGTTGCTCTTCAAAAGTTCTCGCTTCTCCAGTGACTTTGCGTTGTCACTTCTCTTTTATAGACGCCTATGAACCAAGCTTCAACCCGTTCCCACTGCATCTTCACTGTTCATTTATCCAGCAAGGAGCCCGGATCGGCCACCGTCCGGCACGCCAAGCTCCACCTGGTTGACCTGGCTGGCTCCGAGCGAGTGGCCAAGACCGGAGTGGGGGGCCAGCTTCTCACCGAGGCCAAGTACATCAACCTGTCGCTGCATTACTTAGAACAGGTAACTGGACAGGGTGGGCCCTGCCACACCACTTCTGTCCTGCGGACTTTGCAGCAGCCTCACATTTTGGTTTCATTTTGCTTCTTAAAATACACACAACATAAAACTTAATAATCTTAATCATTTTAAGTAAGCAGTCCGATGATGTTAAGAACACTGGAAATGGGCCCTGCTGCCTGGTTGTCCAGCTACCATAGGAGAGTAGGCATGGGATCAGACTTCAGAGGTGACCCGTGTTTTTCCAGCTCCTAGCAACATCCAAATTGAAACTGTTGACCTTGGTGTCTCTGAGCCTCCCCTTCCGCTCCCTTCCTCCGCTCCGTGCAGACGCCAGCCTGTCCCCCCACACGCTCTGTTTCTAAATTTTGAATTTGACTCTGAGGACAGAGAAAGGTGTCTGAGTTTGGCTAAATAAATCTCCTCCCTCTCAAATGAGGGAATTGAATGAGATTTCTCAGGTTCCTTTCGGTGCTGCGAGGAGGAGAAAGGCTGTGAGTTGCATGTTAAAGACCGCAATGATTTCTAAACTCTTATTTAAAGAGAAAGAAATTTGATAAAAACTAAGGTGGTGAGCACAGTCTATCGATGAGACAGAAGGACTTGTTAATGAGCACTGAGGCTGGAAGATTTGAGCTAAAAAAACTTTTTAAGCTGGGTAATGAACCCTTTGGAGATGGACGTGTGCGATGCTGAGCGCTTTCTAATGGGCACATGGGCTGGGACGGCAGATTGAGAGCAACCAGCGGGAGTCTGTCAGGTTCTGATCCAGAGACCAGGCCCCAGTGGCATTCGATCATTTCCGTGCTTTTGACAAGAGTCAGCAGTCCTGAGCGCTTTCCCGTTCAATCATTCCACACTGCTCATCCTTAACGGGGCTTGTCACTTAACAGCACACTACAGGATGATGATATGAAAACATAATGAACTATATTCAGAGCGCCTTATTTCAAAGAAATGTGTCCTCTTCTTTCTGATAGCAGCTCTGTGTTAATTCCCATTATGTCCATCTGTTTGTACAGAATTGCATGCATCACTGGAAACCAACTTTGCATGAATTGTAATCACTCAAATGTTTTGCCCCTAAGCCCTTTTTTCTTCCCAAATTCTACACAACCTTTGTGAGCTGCTGCTTATCACTAGACTACTCCTCTCTTCACATTTCTTCTCTTCAAAATCCTTCGGGCACATCAGCATCGTGTGAGTAGTCTTGGTGCTATATAGTATTTGACCTTCCTTATAAGAACTTACTAAGTTTTTATGCAGATGTAAGTTCTAGAACAAAATAGAAATAGTCCTTGTTTCAAAGATCTCGTGGTCCAGCCAGATGTGGAGGTGCATGGATGTGATCCCACCACTCGGGGAGACTGAGACAGGAGCGTTACAAGTTTGACCCCAGTCTGAACAACATAGAGAGACCCTGCCTCAAAATAAAAACAAAAAGGGCTGGGAATGTAGCTTAATGCAAAGGCCACTAAAGTTTAGTCCTCACCTAGTATTTAAAAAAAGAAAGTCCCAGTTCAGTGCAGGGAGCTGCGTATTAAGTAAGTCGTGATGAAATGCGTGGCTGTCCTCTAGGGATGGTTGCAAGGAGCACGTAATGGGGGCGGTGACTTAGACTGAGGAGGTGCGAGCTGATGACGGCTATCAGGGTCTGACACCAAGCAGAGCCTTGAAGAATGAGCAGGAAGGAGCCAGGCCGCGGGGGCGGCTTGCTCCCACCCGAGAGGACAGTTCACTGGAAGTCCTGGCATCGTTCACATGCCGTGGGCCTCCGCCCTCCGTGCTTAACTTATCTGTCTTATTTTCTACCCCTTTAACTATTTACCATGTTATCCAGTATCTTTCTGGGCAAGGAGAGACTTAGCACAAGGTCAGGACCAGAGAAGAGATGACCCCGAGGACAAAGCAGAGCATAATGTGGGGAAACCGTGTGCTGTGGATGCAGCCTGGGGGGAGCTGCTGGAGCGAGCGGAGGCAGAAAGAGGAGTTTTGGAATCACACTCAGAAAAGACAGTGGGGGAGACCCAAGGAGGCCGTGCTGGTAGGAGTACAGAAAAGAGCAGGGAGACGCTTAATGAAACAGCACGATCCGAGGACGTTTATAATCCAACTCTCTTTCTGTAGCCTTTCTTACATGGCTAAGGGGCCTGGATCTGTGTGCAATTTAGTGTAACAGGGTTTATCTGGCCCTCCTTGGTACACTGTGTTGAGCGTCTGCTGGGTGCCATGAACTCAATTACAGCAGGCCAAGCACCGAACATGACTGCAAGAAGGCCGTGCCGTCTTGCTAGCAGCAGAGCACACAACCATCTGCGGCACAGGAAGCGAGCGCTGGAGCAGAAATCCGCAGGAGCCTGGATTGATCGCGGCCTCTTCTCAGCTCCAGTGCAGGAGACAGGGGCCCAGACAGGAAGCCGCCGTTCACCTGCCTGCTGTCCTCAGGCTGCGCTGGCTTAGGCAGCCATGCAGAATTCTGATGGCCCCTTGGCCATACCCGGGAGCCCTCGCACCTGCTCGGAGGCCGCAGCCCGTCTGGCTGAACGTACCTTGTTATGCTTGTAAGCGAGTGACTTCGCGTTTGCCAGAGTAGCATTGGTTTTGGAGCCCTCTCTGTGTCTGCAGTATTTTTTCCAAAAAGTTTCCTCTGAAAACATTTTCAGCCACAATAACAGGGTCCACTCTGGCCCTAGAAATGGAGTTCATGCGAGGCGAAGGCGGGGAGCTGGGCACACTTGTGCTCCAGGCGGCTCTGGCGTGACCTGAAGTGACTGTCAGCCCAGACACCAAGGGAACAGCAGCTGGGAACCGAGAGTGGCCGCTCTCCGCCCCATCAGAAATCAGCCTCAGCCCCTTCGGCAGTGCAGCTCTTGCAGAGGTTCGGTTTCCATTTGGCTCCCGCTGAATGTGTTGGGTTGAGAAAAAAAATTCATGGGCCCAGCGCTGTGCTCCAAGTAGGTGTCGGTTTCTGAGGATAATTTTTCATGTCTTTCTGAGCTCTTTAGATGAAAAATCTTTTTATTTCACTGAATAACAAGCCGAATTATTGATGCCAATCACAGCAGCTAGGTCCTCACAGACAAGCATAATGTGAGGCTCCACTCTGTCACTTAAACAATGCCTGAAGGTGCATCTGTCATTTTATCCAAAATGGAAGCAGATAATCACACACGTGCACACACACACGCACACGTGCACGTACATGGCCTGGTTGTGGGAGAATGCCCCAGCCCTGTGCTTCTCAAAAGGTCACTGAGTTCTGCCCAGGTGGCAGAGCCCACACCTGCAGCTTCTGGGTCACTGCAGGTCCACACCTGGCCCTGCAGCCCTAGCTCACTGAGATGCCTGTAAAGCACCGGGAGAGCTGAGATGGCTGTTCAGGGTCCTCTCCTGAAGAAATGGCCCCAGCCTCTGTACAGCTAAAGCTAATCTCCAAAGGGATTGTAAAGAACAAGTGTCCTAAAGACTCTGCCCAAGACTGGTACTTTCGTGTTCACTAAGAACTGTCCCGTATGGGCTATCTACAGATACCAATCATGTAAAATACATTGTGGATTTAAAACATGTACTCAAAAGGTAGGCATAGGAATCCCTGCTGGTTTACTTATTTTTGGTAGGACTGAAGATTTTTTTTTATTTTAAAGAGAAAAAAGAAAAAATGAAAAAATCAAGGAGCAAACAAATCAAAACAACAACAGAAGCAATAAAACAAAGTCAACAACTACAAAAAGCCATAGCTCTGTAGGTTTTCAAAACTAAGATGGTAGAAGTTTAATAAGGGGTGTTATGCTGCATATTGTTATCTTCAAAATAGTCACTCAAGTTATCAGATCCAGGAATAAAACTAAACAGTGAAATGAAACAAACATTGGACTTCAAAACCAGTACAGAAAGAAATCCCCCACAGTTGCTATAATACGTATTGTCATCCTCCAGATGGATGCTCAGACTACCAGCTTTGGACTTGCAAAGTCAATCATGCAGGATAAGCACTGGCCAGTTGTGTATGACAAGGTGTCGGGGTGGGAGGGCTGCCCTCCAGCCGGTGCACTGGCTGGCTCATGGGAAGGCGTGGTTTGGCTTCTTGATTCTCTTCCTGTTCCCCATGGTGGCCAGTATTGAAGACTGAATCCAGGGTCTTCACATTGAACTACATCTCTAGGCTTTAAAAAATAATAATAATAATATTTTTTGAGACAGGCTGTTACTAAATTATTTTGTTGCCCGGGCTGGGCTCGTACTTGCAGTCCTCCTGTCTCAGCCTCCTAGAGTACCAGGATTACAGGCATGTGCCACTTCACTTGATTTCTGATCTCACTTTTACAGGAGAGGAAACCAAAGCTTAGAAATCTTAGAGATGTACCTAAGGTCACACAAGCGGGAAACCTGGATTCTGACTCCAAGTCCTGAGTTCTTTCTCTCATCATGTGTGGCTTCCTCTCCTCCATCTTTAAAGCCAACTCATAATTCCATTTTAAGTTCTGAGCATTCTCTAGCAAATCTTAGAACCCTTCTGAAGAGAGGACATTGGAATTGCCTCTGTCATGTCCATTCTTGAGGAACAAGAATCCACCCCTGCGGAGCAAGCAGCTCGCCTCCCTGGTAAGCTGCTGTGGTGTGGCAGACGCGGCCCTTCCAGGGGGAGAACCACCAGCGGCTCCTGAGATCTGCGCCATGTTGGAACTTAGGACACTGGAAAGCCAAGCAACCAGCCTGCCTCCCTGCTAAGCAACAGTGAACCTACTGATGCAGGGCCTAGAGTCAAACATCCCACTAGAGGATGTAGGATGTTTCTCCTGCCTCACCCCACTCCATTAGCAAATGGGAACCAGAAATCTGAGTATCTCCTGGGAGGATGACCGTAGCAAATAAGGGGAATTTCCTTCTACCATCTCTTTAAAGGCAAATATTTTTATTACTGTTTTGCTTTATTCTGATTAATGGTACTGCTCTATTCAATATATTGTTTTGATAAGTTCTATAATATTTTGTATTTGATTTTATTTTCTTATACATGATTGACAGACCAACTATTGTAAAGATAACAAAATATACTGTGATAATTATTACTGTTATCCCGGTTAAGAAAAAAAAAAAAAAAAAGCACCCACCCCAGCTCTAAAAGTCGAGTCTGATGGTCTAAGCAACTTTCAGCCTGCCTTTCTCCTGGCTCCAGTGACTAGTTCAGGGTGGGCCAGGACCCAAGCCAGTGCCCAGAGAAGCTCAGGACTTCTGTCTAATGATTAGGGAAGAGAAGTCCTTTCTTGCTAAAGTTAGAACGGGAGGGCCTTTGGCAGCCGTCCTGGGGACATGGGCAAAGGCTAACTCCCACCATGTGGAGGAGGGAGCAGATAAGTATGGGCAAAAACCAAGTTCCTGGTTATAGCCCTGCCACCTGGGTCGCTTCTAACCTAGAGCCTTTCCTATTTCAGTTCATTAATGAGACAATGAATTTCTCTCGCAGTCAAAACCAGGTTGGGTCACATTTTTGTTATCTACAACCAGAAGCAAATCCAATAACATACAAGTTAATAATGGCAGGAAATTTGTCATATTCTTCTTTGTTATCTTAAGTTGTCAATAAAGCCTTTGAATGGGGAAAAAAAGATCAGTATTGTCTACAGGAGCAGGAAACAGTTGTGGCATTTGCTAGAACTGCTTAGTGCTGTCCGCACATCAGCTAGACAGAGCCCTGATGGGTCTGGCATTTGGTGTTTTGGCCAACCTAGCCGGTTTCAGATACGTAATTTGTCTTTTCAGCTCTCAGGGTCTGGAGCTCTGTTCCACATCTTTTGCTACTCAGCCATCAGTCTGCCACATCCCCTTCTCTCTTCCAGTTACATTGAAATAGATAGAGAGCGTCTTGTTAAGCCGGCCTGGGGAAGCTCAACGTCATGTGTTCTCTTCTAAGTCAGTGACATAAAGGCGAGATAACGGGAAGCTAGAAGGTGGATGCTTAGAAATAGGGAGGAAGTTGGGGGACACCAGGAAAGGGTTAGTAGAGTTGGAAATAATGCAGACATCTAACCCTCAGGGACCGACACACTGTAGTGAATCTCATTATTCTAGAGCAGAAACACACACTTAAAAACAGAATTCAGGAATGCTCCAGTGCTCACAGTTTAGACAAGGAAGGACACACTGAGTTCTAAGATGAAAACCAAGAAAGCATAAGGTCCTGACTACCAGGTGAGTAAGGCGTCTCCCCAAAGAAAGCAGCGAGCTTCCATGCAGGATGCCTGCCTGCTCAGCCGGAAGGCTGGTGCGGTGGCAGCTCATGCCGGGGTCCAGTGGCACCCTGGCCACATGGTGAAGGGTCGGCTCAGCCTCCTGCGGCAGTGGCGTGCGGTGTGTAGAGACATCCAGAGGAGCAACAGCACTGGATGCTGAAGAGGAGCAGAGCAGAGAGAAGAGAGCAGATATAGGCCAGACACAGGGCAGGAGCGGGTGGGTGACAGAGCCAGGACAGAGCGTGGGATGGAGGATTTAACTTGGGGCACCCGAGAGCTCTGGCCAGCTTGCTGATGTCTGCTAAAAGGGTGGTTGTGAAAATCAGGGAGAAATGCACAGGAGGCCCAGGAGTGTGGATAGGAAGGGGGACAGGGCTCCTTCCTGGGGGTAGAAAGGGACTTGGAGGTGGAGATCACCGAATCGCAGGCTCATAGCTCGACCTGTGCTTGTGGGTTAAAGCGAGGTTTAAAGTGGTCTGGTTCATTTGTTTTTGCTCAAAGCAGTCTTCAAAAATCAGTTCTCTCATTTAGTTCTATGAACCAAAGAAGGAAAAAGGTCATACTGATGACAACCACATAGCCAGGTAGATGCAGGACCAGAACAACAGGAGTCCACAGAGGAATTTTTAGGGGCCAGGATCTAGTGATGCCCCTGAGGTCACATCCCAAGGGCATCTAATTCCAGCTGCTCTGCCTCGGACTTCCTAGCATGGGAATATGCCCAGGACAGTCCTGACCCCTGTGTCCCCTCTGAGGACAGCCCCCACTACCTCCGTCCTCCTGACAGCCATCCACCTAGCATCTTCCCAGTAAGAAACTCACGAAGAGTGAGGTAAACGAGCCCTCCCTGAACCGTAACCGCCCCATCCCTCAGGATCCTGCAAACACACCCGCATCCCCTGTTACAGGTGACTGGCTAAAAGTGGTTGATGCTCTGTAGCTTTCTCAGCCACCCCAACTGCTTGCTCCCACCTTATAGTACAAGGAGACTGAAGCAGAGACACTGGGCGCTGTGCCCTGGGAAGACAGGATTTGTCACCCAGACCCCCGCGGATCAGGATGTGGGCTCTCTGCCCCATGCAGCTTCCCGTAGCTCTTATTTGCCGGTCTATCTCTCTTGTCCTGAGGCACACAGCTCGATTTTGGCAGGATTAAATTAGCCAAGCATGACCGTGGTATTTTTATACAGCTTTTCCAGTGCTGAAAACAGAATAATAGCATATCCAGTTCTGTAAAAGTTATGTCATCCGTCTGAAACTTACAGGACTCACCATGTCATGTTTGTGCTACTTTTATTTCAATCCATTGTCACCACTTTTTACGGACTGTTCCTGAGATATTTAGTCTGTGCCCAAGTTCCACATGTCACCCTGCAGTTACTTCCTCTATCTTTGCATGGTCCGTCGCCATGGAAACTGCGCCGTTGGGGGCACCTTCTCTGCCCACGCATGCCCTTGACCCTTCTCTTTGTCACAGGTCATCATCGCCCTTTCGGAGAAGAACCGCTCGCACATTCCCTACAGGAACTCCATGATGACCAGCGTCCTCAGGGACAGCTTGGGAGGGAACTGCATGACCACCATGATCGCAACACTGTCCTTAGAGAAGAGGAACATTGAGGTACGTGGGTTCCTCTTGCTGGAGATCTTATCCTGGGTTTCTCGTGCCAGTTCGGGAGATGGAACTGGAGGTTCTGGGTGAGTTAACACAATACAGAATTCACAGATCTGGGTTATCAGCCTCGTAATAACCCCCTTTGAGAACTGACATCACATGATGCAGGATGATTTGAAGAAGCCTCATATGTGAATTTTGGAAAGCCTGCCAAAGAGTTTGTTCTCAGCCATAGGAGTGAGTAAGGGGGTCCCCAACCCCTCTTGCTCAGCTTTGCTCCTGACTAGCAAGGTCTGGATACCTCAGAGATGTCCCCAAGTTCTGTCCCTAGACAGATCCTGGGTGCAGCGCTCAGGATGCTCTGGTGGGAGCCGCTGCTGCGTGGCTGTCCCAGGGTGCCTGGAGCCAGCTGGTATTTCATGCAGTTCGGCTTGATGTTTGGGGTCCGGACACCCCACAAAGAGGACAACAGAAAGCAGTAGTGTGCTTCCCAAAGCAAGGCCTTGTCCTCTCGGGTGAGCTGTTTTTGAAAAGCCTCTCTTTTTGGTCTTTTACAAATATTTATTTTGTAATCATTCATGTTTACAGATTCTGATAGCAGCTGATACGGATTTCTGGTTTAACAAATGAATAGTTGAAAACACATACCAGGTGTCATTTAGGGTGTCGGGATTTTCAGTGTGGGTCATCTCAGGAAGCCAAACCCAAACTTTTGTAGAAAATAATGTCCTAGAGCAAAGCTCCCTCATTTGGAGGCAGAGTTTTTCGTTGTGGGTTTGTTTTTTATGTGCACATCACTCTGAAGGTGTGCATGTTTTGCTGTGAATGAAACGTAAGTTTTATCTAGCAACAAGTCTCTCTCTATGCCAGAGCATCTTAAGAAGTGATTTCTGCTTTTGTTTTAGGAGTCAATATCTACCTGCAGGTTTGCACAACGGGTGGCCCTCATCAAGAATGAAGCCATCCTTAACGAAGAAATTGACCCCAAGCTGGTAGGCTGTTTTAACTATGCCGGGGAAAATGGGAATCAAGGGTCAGATAAAACTCAGAGGGGTCATACTCATGGCTTGCGAGGCAGGGTTCTAAGTGCTTGGAAGGGCACTGGCTGAGAAAATTCTCAGAGCAGAGGGAGGGGGAAAGCTGGCTCCATCCCCAGAGAACAAAATCAAGATACAGCAATGCTGCATGACTGGCCAGCATCTCAGTGCTCATTGGTAGGGTAGCCAAAGCCAAACCAGGCTCTAGCTGTGCCCCGCTGCCCGTCCCCACAGCTTCCCTGTGGAGCTGTGCAAGGGGTCCCCAGACCCACACGGTAGAATCACAGCCTCAGACTCCTGTGCGGCTCTCAGCTCTCCATCACCATCAGCCTAACCCTCCAGACACCTTAATAATAGACCATCTTTTATAAAAGTGTATAAGAGGGCTCCCAATGGTTGTTAAATATAAACATTGTCACAACTGCCCTGTTACTTATTCTAGAGATCGTGTATAAAAATATAAGTTAACTATATGGAAAAATTACCAAATTTTTGTTCCATACCAATAAATCCTGCGTTACCAAAACACTTTTGGGGCTCAATGGTACAGCACCTACCTGGCAAGTGCTAGGTCCTGGGTTTGATTCCCAGTTCACACACACAAAAAACTCTTTGTTATAAGATTCAACTATTCATTTTAAATGCAAACAGTCTCTTTTCTCTGTTTTGTTAGTTCTCTATAAAAGAAGCACAGCATTGAATCAACTCATGCCAACACTGAAAATGTTGAAAGAAAAATCCCTGTTTTGTACAATTCCATCGAGGGTATTACTTTTCAAAACACCCAGATTTTCTTAATTTCTCTAAAAAATAAGCTGATGCATGCATTATTTAAAAACATGAAATCTTACCAACAGTTACCAACAGTGCTTCATTTACAAGTTTTCTGAGGTTGAAAAAAGTGACTCCATCATGATCCATGTTAACTACTTTCTCTTGGCTCTTGGCCCCTTCTCCTCTGAGGTGACTCTGTTCTATCCTGGTCACCTCAGGGATCACCAAAGCTCCTCGACAGAGTTGTTTTTATTGTTATTACTGGAGCAACCAACAGATGAGACAAAGCCTATTTCCAGTGCCAGCCCTGCAGAGCCCCAGCTGGGGAGAAGGGACAGAAGACAAAGCCACAAGTCAAGGGACACTGCCCTTCTAGGGAAGCTCGCCCTGCTGTCCTGGTCCTCCCAGCAGCCCCATAGCATGTCTGTATAGAATGAGAAAGGCAGTGGTGGCATTATTGGCCTGAAGACAAAAATTAGTTCCTAATTTGAGGAAAGTAAACACATTAGGCTTTGGCGAGTTTCAGCCAGAGAAACTTTTCTCTAAATGAACTTGAGGAGTTTAAAGAAAGGCGAACACTGTCAGGTGTCTGATGTAGGGCTGTAAGAAAGTGGCAGAAAAGAGTGATCAGGAGTGAGAAGCTAATTGTGGATAAGTGGACGAGTCGCTGAGGTCTTCCTGGTACGGAAAGAATAATCTGGTAACTGACAAGTGTTTCCCGGTCTCTTTCTTAATTGCATCTAAAAACTGACATTGCTGGCTATTAGTCTATGTACAGAGCTTGTCTGAAGTACACGTGACAGCCGGAAATTTGTCCTAAAAATCACCCAAGATGCAATTGGGATGGGATTTCCTGTGTCTCACTCTTAAATGTTAATGGTCCTGGGCAACCAGGGTCACCTGGTGTCTGCCCTGCTTCAGCGGGACGAGGTAAAGGAAGAGCCTCAAGCCAGGCTGGAGTCTGTGAGGACAGGCGCAGGCCAGGCTCCACTAAGGATGGCGCTGCTGCCAGCCTTCCTGCAGAAACTGGGTGGGAGGTGTCACTGTGGTCTCCTCAACCATGAAAGTGTGGCTTAGTTTTGAAATTTCAATGCAATAAGACAAAATTAATTTGGTATTCAATTTGATGTGGGAAGCCTTAATAGGAATAGAAAGTATGACATCAATATTAATTTAGTAGAGGAGAAAGCAGATGAGTGGTTCATGTAGTTCTTGTCTGAAACTTTTCAGTTTGCATAGTTTGATGATTATGAGAATGTTTTTGAAAAAGTCACACAAAAAAACCTACAACACTGTATACATTTTAATAAAATTCTAGAAGCATGACATGATAAAAATCCTGGGACTTCTCGTACTGTTGATATGGTCCAGATAACACAAACTCACCTGTATAAAATTTTACAAACATCTTTGAAATACACGTCTTAGCTTGAGGGAGAACAACAAGCTAAGAAACAAAGCTAAGGGCTGCAGTTGTCCTGGAGAGGATTAGAGGGGTCACAACACACGGATAAAAGTCGGAGCCCCTTTGCAAGCTGGGTATTGAACTTAAGACCTCTCCCTCTCTAACATAAAATCAGTGAAAGAGAAATGGGAAAAAAATCCATCCGTGGGCATAAGGAGATGTCCGGGCAGCTTGTCTGCTTAAATCTGGATTTTAAACAGAAAGGGCTTTGTAGGAAGTGTGAGGCCCTAGGCCCTACCTATCATGGACCTGAATTCATCTTTACCTTCCTGCCTCAGTCTACTCTGAGCGAAGAAGTTAGGAAATGAACAAAACTGCCTGGGAGAGGGCAGGCGGGAGGCGAATCCATCCTGTTTGGGTTTTGCGTTTTATTTCATTGTTTTGTGTTTTGTGCTGTAATAATACCCGATATTCAAAGAGGAGAGGCTGGACTCAGCCTGCTAGTTTCTGGGTTAGGAAGTTTTGCTATGGTATTGTGGTATCATGTCCTCGGTGGGTTACTTCAGGAGCCTAAAAATGATCTAATATTAGATTGTCAGTGTATATAGTAAAAGAAAAATAGGAACAAATGAAAGCCAAATTTAGGACAGTGATAATGGAGGGTTAACTTAATTTAAGGAATAGGAACCTCTTATCCTGCCTGTAATGTTTCTTTCCAAAGTATTGGGTACCTGGGTACTTGGGTACCCAATACCGTGATTGTTTTGTATCATTTTTGTATTTGAGATAGTTGATACTAAATAGTCACATGAATTAAGATGATTCACCACATGCACAATTTAAGAGAGAAAAATTGTATGGTCTCATCACTAGTTGCATAAAAAGTATTTGACACCATTAAGCATCCATCCATATGCTGACCACACTCATCAAACTATAAGTGAACATATTTAAACTGATTATGTATAGTAGGCAAAAATGTATAATAAGCATCATTTGAAAGGTGAAATGTTAGAAGGAATAAAAAATGTATGTCTTAAGAATTATACTTAGAAATTCTAGCTAGGACAATGAAAACAAAAAAAGAAAAACATCAGTCACTACTAGCAGTTTTGTTGCTTATAAAATACACCCAGGAATATTTAGTGCCTGACAGAAGCAAAAATATTCAGAAAGTTGTTTGATACATAATCCACACATAAAAATGAATTTTAGGTACACCAGAGGCCGACAGTTATAAACTCTAATTTCACAAAATTCCATTCACAATATCAACAAAAACTTTAAAAATTCTTGATACATATTCTAGCTAACGGCACATAAGATACTTAGAGAAAATTATAAATTTTTATTGGAAGGAGTCAGCGGAGATGTTTGTTAGATTCATGGATGGTGTGGTTCAATACAGTATTGTTAATTTGATGTCTTACATGATAAAAATCATATAAGTGTGAAAAGCAACACTGGGACACTTTTAAAAGACCATATAATGGTTTGGGGTAAGATAGATTTTGAGAAAACACAAAAGCACAACTCATAAAGGAAGTTTCTAATTAAAATTATATTGAAATTCAGAGCTTTCCTTTAACCCAAAAACAAAAACCTCAAAGTAAAAAATGTGGCATAGACTGAGAAAAAATAGGTGTGTTGCATTGCATAAAATCAACAAAGCATTCACATCTGGGATATGGGAAGACACTGCAGATTAGTAAGGAAAAGGAAAATAAGTTAAGCAACAAAAGAATATGCGTAAATAATTGTCAGAAAAAGAAGCCCAGACAGCCGAGGTACAAGTGTGAAGATGGTCAGCTTCCCAGGTAATTATGAAAATCCAAAGTAGGTATCATTTCCTGCCCAGAAGACTGACAAGAGCAGCTACCTGCCAGCATCTTGAATGGTGAAAATGTGGAGAAACACATTTTTATAACTCTGATGAGTGATTTAACCCCGTGCCACAGAGGCATTTGAAATGCCCTGCTCCACTCCTGAGAAATGCTAGTTCCAAGCGTACACCCAGGAGTCCTGGGAAATTTCTCACATTCTCAGCAGAAGTAAAGTCCTAATTGCTCATCACGAGACACACAAAGGAACAAAGTGCATTCATAAACATTTATGAACAACAACCGCGGAAAACAACACAAATAACTTCAAAAGCGGAAGGCAAAAAAGCAAGCCACGATTGCACACCATAACGTAGCATTTCTATTTTTAGTTGATGGCGTGGAAAATGATACCATGCTTTACGTACAGGTGCACCCGTACATATGGAATAGATGTACAAAAGCACATAGGGATGTGACACCCCTAAATGCCTCAGCCTGACCCCTCGTGAAGGATGGACAGGAAACAGGAATAGCGGGTTCCAGTTGCACGTAATGTTTTGTGTGTTAAAAAATAATTCCAGAAGTATTTCGACCAAATTGAAACTTTATATAAAGCGGCTGGTAGCTCCAGCGGTGCCTTTGATATCATTCTCTGTCCATCTCATTCTCTACAAGCTGACATTCCCATGCCCTCCTTGCCCCCCGCAGATGATTATTCGCCTGCAGAAGGAAGTCCAGGACCTGAAGGAAGAACTGGCCATTGCCACCGGGGAGCAGAGGACAGAGGCGCTCACCGAAGAGGAGCTCCTGCAGTAAGCTGGCGCCCCTCTCTTCCTTTCTCTCTCACTGTGAAAGTTTGGGTTCACTTCCCTGGTGGCCTCAGCATTAGGGATTCACCTCCAAGCAGTCCGTCCCCTGGGATGATCCCAAATTGTACTGAGGTGCCAGTGAAGGGTGGTGGCTTTCCATGAAAAGCTGTAGAAGGCTGAGTAATAGCCATGCCAAACCATGGGTCTCAGATCCAACAGGGATTCTTTGGATGCTACTGTGTCTTTGGATGCTACTGTGAGCTCCAGTTTATCCCAGGCCAAAGTAAGTGCTCTCCCTTAGTAACCGGATGGCCCAAATATTATGGTTCAAACACTGGAGCAGCGAATGAAAGCGGGTATGCAGGACCTCACAGAGGTGCGGCGTCTTTCAGAGCCTTTAGATTTGCAGCCATGTGGCCTATCGGTGACACAGTGTGGCTTTCCTTTTCTCTCTGATCCTGGGCATGGTGGTGGCTTTCTTGCGGCTTCCTGCTACTTACCAAGCGTTTGTGCAGCGGTGATAATGGATTTAGAAGGCTCTAAGTCTATTTCCAAATAAGAAATAGGGCTGTGTCAGCTTTCCAAAGATAAGTGTCATTTCACCTAATTCTCCTGTCAGAAAAAATGGTAAATAGTCGAGGCAATAAAAGTGGCTTTCTTGGGGCTGAGGGTGTAGTCTAGAGGTAAATTGCTTGCCTGGCATGCACAAGGCCCTGGGTTCAATCTCCAGCATGGCAAATGCAGTAAAAGCAGTTTTCTTTAAACTACTGTACAGTTACCCATGAGATGCAACAAAGCTGGAGAAGCCTCGGATCCTAACCCAGAAGCTTTCCTACAAAAGTGCCTTGAGCTCTATTAACAATTAAAGTGAGGCGCATTGCCCCAAACTCACCTTGTTAAGAATTGCATGTCATCTCTGAAGTAACGTGGGCTCTCCTTGAGGCTGAGAACAACCGACTGAGTTTTCCTTCATCCCTCTCCCCTCACTGAAGACATCTCTTCTGCATTTTGATCCAGCCAAGAAAACGAGGCCACTCTAGGCCTTTCCACACAAGTGTTTAACCTAGGCAGTGATTGTGCCGAGCGGCCTAACAGGGTGATACAGACCCCCAGACATCTGTAACACAGAAGCTCCCAGAGCCCTCGGACTGAAGGGGCAGTGGTGCTACCAATATCCAAGAGCTGGAGCTGGCTGCAGCAGTTCAACCTGATCACTGGGGTTGGACACCAGTGGTGGCCACTCGTGGAACACAGGTGCTCTTCAAGACACTGTTTAAGGGACCTCTTTGACCTGTCTTATCCCTTTTCAGGTTCCCTTGGCTAAAGTTAGTTGGAAGCCAGTTGTTACAGGGTCAGGAGATGCATTTTCCTGAGGTGCAGAGTGAAACAGGGGAAAGATGCGAACTGGAGCTCAGCACAATGTATCAAAGAAGTGCCAGCATCTTCTCTGATTGCTGTGTACCTTATATGCTGCTCCAGAGACTCAGTTTAAGGGTAGGATTTTCAGAAGAGTGATTCTGATGTATCAGGCTAGTTTGTCCTGCACCAAACCCAGATCATACGGCTGATGTGAAGAAACCTATGCATCTCAGCCACACCTGCCATCCAGAAGTAGATTTATACAGGGACTAAAGGATCCGAGCGAACGGGGGAGAGGAAGGGGTGGGCAAACACAATGAAGACACGGTGTCGCACAGTCAAGGTCCAGGTCCGGAAGCAGGGGAACGCTGGGGTGGGAGCAGGCTGCGAACAGCTCATGAGTATCCAGCAGGGCTGGGACATGGGGGCATTGGTCCTCTAAGTTCCTGTGCCCTCCCCCTACACAGGGTTCAGGATGGGGAAATAGGGAAGGACCCGGGTCACTGTCACAGATAAGCTCTGCGTGGCAGCTGGGGTCCTCAGCTCTGCCACCCGCCCATCTGCTGTTCTCACTGAAAACAGTGAAAAACAGAGCAGCCACATCCGCCTCAAGCCCCTGGAGCCTGGCTGCCTACTGGGAGCCATCTTAGGAGGCTGAACCCACAATCAGGAAAGCTGGAAATAGCAGCTGCAGCCTGAAGTCGGAGAGAGACAAGAGCAAAAGGGATTTACAACGCACAGCGCAGAGAGCTAAGCTTTCTGAGAAGAGCGTTATCTTTAGCAAAATAAAATACGGTGTTACATTCATGAAACAAAACCAGAATCAAAAGGAGATCTTGGGAATGAAAACAGTGTACTTGCTGCCATTGAGAAATTAGTAGATGGCTCAGTTGCAGAATAAAATAAAATTTTAAAAAGTTGCAAATTAGTGAGTTGGGACAATCAGGACTAAGGAATTGTAGCCAGAGTGTGAAATGAAAAGATAAAGAGAAATCTAAAATAAAAAGACACAGAGAGTAGCTCCAGCTTTTCCACATTTAATGATTGAAAATTTGCAGGGAAGAAAATAAAGATAATGGAAGAGCCAATAGCTGAAGACATAAGATAATGGAAGAGCCAATAGCTGAAGACATAAGATAATGGAAGAGCCAATAGCTGAAGACATACTATCTAGGAACTTCCTAGAACTAAATAACAACCACAAAAGAGACATAAAACTTCAGAATGAGAGTTTCATCAGGTACTAAGCTGGATTGCAGAAAATGTTTCCTATCTTAAAAGATAGGAAAGAATCTTAAGGAAAAAAATTAGCAAAAATTAAGAATCTGATTTAGATCAGACTTATCGGCTGCTCTGGAAACAAGAATTCCAGATGCAAAACAAACAGAAAAGCAAAACCAAAAAGCACTTTAAATGTATTTTTCTAAATCTAGCCAAATTAGCACCCAGCCATAAAGATGAAATGAAGGCATTTTGTAGACATAAAAGCTTTCAGACAGAAAGGGTACAACCCTAGAGCCTCTCCAAGAACTGCCACAGATTGTACTTTAGCAAAAAAAAAAAAAAAAAAAAAGCAATACAGTATGAGACACAGAAAGAACAAACAGTACCTTACTTATAAATCTTAAACTGTAATATTTACATTATATCATCCACTAATTGTCATTCATTCTATATTGAGTTTTTCCACTTAAATTATTAAAATACCAAGCAAATATTCTGCCCATAGGAGACTGAGAAATAGAGTGAAGACAAAATTATGGCCACAAGTGAAAATACAGAAATTAACTCCTAGACCTTGGATTGGTTTCTGTGGGTCTACAGATAACAAAAATACAAGTATAAATCTGAACAGACTCCGTGTGAAAAGTATATAGAGTTGCCGTTAGTTTTTTTGTGTGTGTGCCTTTAATTCATTTATTGTGCATCCAGCATTTGCAAACTACCATAGTCCTGAGAAGAACAAAAAGGAGGAGCTGGGTTCTGCTCCCAAGGGGCTCACAGTTTTGGGGTGATCTAGACAAACATCTAAGTAACAGTGGTGCAGTCTGTGTACATTAAGGGAACATACATGCAAAACACAGCCCCACGGAGAGGTAGTGATTACCTGCGAGCTCAGCAATCATGCAGAAGTTCAAGTGCTACTAAAGAAGGTTCAGCCTTGTTGATTCTTAATGAAACAACCGCCCTGCATTGTGTCTGATTAGTGGTTTCTGATCAGCAGTTAGAGGGAACAAATGTTGCAGACCACGCCCACCCTGCCAACACACAGGGTTTCCCAGGGATGCAGTAAATTTGGAGCTTGTTCACACTGACACTGTGAATTACTCAGATCAGTGTTTTGTTATTTGTTTTTTAAAACTGTTGTTGTCATTGTGTTTTTTTCCATAATTAGCTAGGCTGAGTGTTAGGTGACCTAAATGTTAGCAGGTTAAAGAGTCCATTATCATCTTCAAGTGAGAAAGATAAATTAAAACTGGCTGCTTTATAACACCAGGAGTGCATGCTCTGCCTTTCAGGGCTCCAGAGATTCACTCAGGAGTGAGATTCAGCTGGGTCCTCCCATTGCGTGGGGGGAGGCATTGGGGGAGAGAGGTGTTGGGTCAGGAAGTCTGCAGCTCAGCCAGGCCGGGCAGAGGGGCAAGAACGCCATGTCTGCCTCTCTGTCCCCGAGGTTCCTGGGCTCGCGCTGCCCAGCATGGCCTAAGCACCCTCGTCTCAGGGATGTTTCCAAGCATGGCCGGAAGCAGGTAAATAGATCTGATATTTATGCAACCTCCGTTAATATCCAGCCCTATCAATCTGTGAGCCGTTTCCCAGCACTTCTGCTCTTAATATAAATATTTGTTGCATTGACTTGGATGCTCTCATGAAGAGGATTTCAGATGTCAGCCTCCTGTTACTGTGATATTCTAGTTTCCTTCTTTTATTTCACCCTGGGTAAATTTGAAAAGAAACAGCTGGACGCAGGCTGCGTAGCCAAGTTAATGTTTAAGCACAGCTTCTTGGGTGAAGATCTGACAGTGATTGGCTCTGCACACACACGGCTCTGTTTCTTTGGGTAAAATAATAAGCCTTGTAGATCTCTGGCTAGGCTGGAAGCAAAGCTGCGCAGAATATTTTCTGTATCACAACATTTTACTTCTCAGATGGAATCGAGTTGAATTTCAGGACTCAAGTTCACCCAGAGTGTTCTTCTAATACGTCCAAACATCTGGGTCTTTTTTTTAAGAGGAGAAAAAAAAAGCTCTGCATATCTGTTAATCTCCCATGCTGAATTTGTTGAGTACCTATTAGAGGTTTAATCGCCTTAATTTTGGGATTTGAAGAGTATAAGAGAAAAAAAGTAATGTGAAGGAATTACAGTTTTATTGGGGGACTCTTACACAGACACATACGCACACGCAATATACATACATGTATACGTGAAACAGACAACAGGCCTTATATTAGTGGGGTGCATAAATGAACACAGAATTATAAAATTTTAATTCTGTTTTAAATTCTACCCATTTTAGTTATTTTATAACTCTGTAGACTTACAGTTGAGCGTTATGTGTAAAGTGAGAGGACTGAACTAAACACGGCAGCATCTGTGCTAGAGATAGCTGTGATGTGCGTGTTTTTTAACTTCATATCAGTTC